GAACAGTGCTATCGGACAAAGTATGACTTGTTCTAATTTCAAATATGTATAGGTTTAATATACTTATTTTTATGACTTTAGTCAAAAATTTATTTTTTTTGTATCATTTAATCATATACAGGGTGTTTCAGAACTGTGGGATCAAACTTGCCTAAATAGCATTTAATGCATTTAATTTTTGCCTTTTGTACATGATATCATCACAACAATTGTTCAAAATGTCTTCCTTCAACCTGAATACCCTTCACTTTGAAAAATGGAGTTCAGCCCAAAAAAGAGGTGTCTCAACCGTCCTATACATGAGTTTCCTCTATTAAAACAGACAGAATTCAATACGTAACGAGTTTCTATCGCAGTGAATGAATGTATTACAGAGTAATTTGTGGTAAAAGTAGACTAACGATTTGCATGCATGAATATGTGGATAGAAAGGCTGAACCTAGCAATAAAAAACCTATAACAATGGTACACTGCAGCTAAGTCAAAGCTATACTTTAATAACCCAATTGCAACTGAGAAATAATTCTTGAAATTGCTTTTTAACCGAAGGTTATTGGCTAAGTGATGAAAATATTTTAGAACGTAAAATCGCAAATTTTCCTACATGTACAATTCTAGATTTAGATAAAAGTAGATTTGTGAAGAGCACGATTATCTTTGAGCATTCTATTGGATTCTTTATATCTGAAAAACGTAATTTCCGGTAATTTTTGGCAAATTAGGAGTATCTAAACACGACATCTTAAATTTTGAAGTTTTGATGCCAAAATGCAGCCATGACTTACTTTCAGTTGATATTTACTTTTTTACTCTTCACTAATCACTCTGATATATAATTGTGCATAAGGTAAAACATATAAAACAATATAAATAAAATGTATAGTAACATACATGAAGTTATGTTATAAAATATATTTACTGATAATTTTGATCTTGAATTCTCATGAAAAATAATTACTGATTTGCTGTACATTTGAACTGGTAATTTATTGTATAATTTGAGGCAGTTATAGTGGAGTGGTTTTTTGAAATAGCATGTAGCATGTGTATGAATGACTTTTAAAATTTTATTTCTAGTGTTATTATATCTCTTAACATAAGTTACACATTTTCAAATGTAGACACAGATTTTCTTGGGATTTAAAATTTTCTCTACAGGAATCAAGTGGCTTCATTCCAAAAATTAATCTGACAATTGGGCAATATATACTGTTATCAATTTCAGAATATTTTTCCCACATCAAAAATAAGAGATATACATAGCTATGAGCCAGTGCAAAATATACATTTATTAAAGCTTTTTCATTTAGAAAATCTTTCAGTTGTAAAATGGCAAAATATGTTTCACTTGGATTTTTACATACGTGAAAATTTAGAATCAGATAAAGAAGATCAAACATATTCAGGTATATTTACTAAACTATTGGATTTTTTTGAAAACAAGAATCAATTTCAAATAAATGCTTAAATCCTTTTTGTACTGTTGTGCCCTTACATTACAGTTCTATAGTCAAATAACTTGTGTTATCTGTCGTATGTGCACAAAGTCCCATTAGAAAATAGTTCTCGGGCAGCGTTGCAAACAGACCAAGATAAACGACAAAGTGTTAAGGTCAGTAAGTACATTATTAAAAAAGATATTTCACGGTATTGCATCCGTTGACTCGCCATTGCACTGCCAACTTTCCGTGGAAAGTTGGGGGCTTTCCATATAAATTCGCGATTTCTCTTTCGCAAACAGGATCGTATCTGGGTATTTGTTTTTCGCTTTTTTATGTAGTTGAAGCCCCGAATAAGAATAAGTTACTACTATAAACTACAAAAAAGTTTTCTATTCTCTGTTAATATACATTCAAATCAATCCTGTACCACACAGAGCCATTACATGGAAATACCAAATTACAAAACACTGTCAAAATACATTGAAACAATGCCGACAGCTACTGATACCTTGTAAAAGAAAATAAATATTTGGGAAGAAAGCTTTATAATCAAACATTCGCTAATATATATTTTGCCTTGAAACTTGTTTGATATTTTTTGCTTCGTTCTCCAACAGTTGCTCCAGTGGGTCGGAGCAATTTTGTGTATCAGTCTTGTTTTATAGACAAATTACTTACGAATCCCACTTGGCACCTTCCGAAGGCGAAGCGCGTTATCATAAATACGAGTAAGCGGCTCACACTCTTGGCGCTCTATCTCGGAAACGGCTAATGGTATATTGCTAAATAACGAAATGATAAATAATTGTATACTCCTCAATTTTTAGTGCAAAGGAAACAAAATAATTAAAATATTTTGGGAAGTTTGATCTTGAATCACTGGAGGCACACAGACACAGAACGTAAAAGAAAGGCCCTTACAAATGTTCAGCTTATCTTTCATTTCAGGTTGAAAGCTTTTCTCTTGGAATAATATAAAAAAAAACTAAAAACACAAACATTCGCCCTTTCTCCAGAGAACCGTTTACGATGGGTATACCTGGCATTTTTGCCACTTTAAAACACATCTTTTTCTGATCCTAGCATCTTTGGTCGGGTTGTATTAGCCCAGTTCATCCCATAAACCCTGCTTCTGATAAAGAAGATGTTTTCACTTGGTTCGAAATTCCTAATATAGCTTTTTTCAACCCCTAGGCTCCTTCCATGCTTGTCAAACTTATCACCTTATCTAAATATGGATTTCTCTGGCTAGTAAGCGCACTGGCAGAGGAGGTCATGACCTCTACGACAGGTCGTTTGTAGCTGCCTCTGTGCTTTCCAGCCCTCTCCAAGCTGCTAATTTCTCCTAACGACACATAAATCCGGAACCTGGGGATGCTAGACTGAGTTCATGTAGCCTGAACATGAAGAACTACATTTTTAATATGTTTGTTATATGCAGTAGGAAACCGGGACAGCAGAACTGTGACCCTGTAACTCAGTTGTATTGGAAAAGTTGGGCAAAATATACGAGAGCCTGCTGAAAAAATCTCCAAAGCTCGCCCATCCAAATAGGTAAAAATCTTAAGGCAAAACCGACCGAGGATGAAAATGGGGCACCAAACGCGTTACTTCTTGCCATAAGATCGCATTTGGCTTGAAGACTAAATACTGTTAATCATGTTAATTTGGCCTGATGCTCCCCCAATTATACAATGCTTTTCAAAAAGCCGCCCCACACTTTATTTTTTTGAACAGATCAAGTTACCAAGGTGAAATTCAGGGGAGCGTTCAGCTCAAAACGTCCAGTGAAGGAAGTCAACCGATAGAGAATAAACTCGGAATGTATCTAGATAGCCTGATGAATCTAACCGTTTAAGTAGAAATGCCAAAAATGTGAAGTTTAAAACCAGCAACCTGAACTAAAATTGATGCATGAATACTACTAGAATTTAACCTTAAAAATCACAGCTAAAGATTCCAAGAACAATAGAGTATAAATTTGCTATATTTATAAATCACGGAGTGTAGAGCTGCCAAATTTGAGCGTTTTTGTACGTTGAATTGGTTATAGCTAAACAACCAGTCCCTAAAACGTTATAATTGATATTTCATATCAACCGTATTTTCTTTTTTTTGAAGCGTCTGAATGAGCATCAAAATATAGGATACTCCGTTTAAAAAGAGATGATTCTGCCATTTTTTTAATGAAATGTTCCATATTTTGTTACATATTAGGATAAATCCAACAGAAGAAGATTGAGATAACATACCATAGCAATTTAATATTTGGTTTTTCAGTTGTAAACGCCTAACTTTACAAAAAACGCTCAGGTTCACAGCCTACCATTGTATAGTCTAGGATTATGAATTTCTTGGAAGAAGGTATCACATGATCCCCCATTCTATTGACAAAAATTATCAATGATGGCGCCTTGTCGCCATATTGAAATGTCCATCTGTCATTTTCACGCTAAAATGTATCAATTTCATAACCCTGAATTTCAGCTTGACAAGTTTAAAAAATAAGCACTTTTGAAAAGCACTGTGTAAACAATGTAGAATGTTATGTGATGGTGTGATGAACCGCAAATCATATTTCTTAAATGACTGCAAACCTCCTGTTTTCGTAAATATTTTTTTTTCAGACATGAAATTCACTTCTACTTAAATGCGTTGTAAGTTACAAAATCCAGAAACAAATTTGGCTAACTTTTTGATTAGTGGCTGATTTTCCCATCAAGTATATAAGGTGTTTACTAATTGATGTCAGGATTTGAGGGAGCGTCCATTTTAAGAAGAAAACTTTATAAGAACATACGTATGTCCTAAAGGTCTTAATTTTTGAGATACAGGGTGGTAAAAGTTTAAAAAATAAATCATTTGGCACTCCACTGACTTTTCATAAAAAGAACAAAAAATGGTATCTGAATTCATTTACGAGCAGATTTGATTTAGATTTAAAGTTTTTTCATCTGAAAAAATAAAAATTATATCTCTGCATGGTGATATTGTCATATTTACGATATTTATTATTATGCAGAGAAACGGTTTTTGTCTTTTTTAAGCGAGATCTGTGCATCGAATTGAAAAAATTAGGTGATAAAATTAGCTTAGAAATGATTGGGGGTCTCAAGAATAATTTTTATTTCAAGAGAAATTAGTGTCGTACAGTCAATGAGCCGTATTCATAAAACAAAGGATATCCTCCAGATAGTATTTATAATAATTTGAAGTAAATGCTTTGGTTTTTGAGTATAAGCATATCCTTCAAAGCAGTGACATAAGTAAAAGGATATTCATAATCTTCACCTTATACTTGGCATAGGGAGCATATCCTTCAAAAAATCGAGTATGGTCAGGAGCAGACTCAACTTCGTAATGAAAGGTAGTCAAACGATGATGGCGAAAATTGTGGATGTTAGGGATGTTAAAACGTACAAACCTCATTTACGTTCACTTGGTCCTGACTTCAAAAAATTATATCGGTTCGACGAAGCAAATGTACAATGGCTTGCGGACCGATTTTTAGTTGAGAATGAGGAAACGCGAGGAGGAACACTTTCATGTATTCATGAAATGAAGATATGTCTACGTTATCTCGGTGACTCTGGATATCAACAAGGTATTGGTCAGGAACTTGGTGTTAGTCAAGCAACGGTATCCCGGACTGTGGATAGAGTTGTGAGTAGCATAGTTGCACAGTCGAACGAATGGATCAAGTTTCCAACTACCAACCATGACCTGATGGAGGCCAAGCGGATATGGCAAAGCATGTATAAATTTCCGACAGCAATTGGTGTAATTTATTGTACACATATAGGAATCCTAAAACCAAATCGTCATGGAGATGAGTATATCAACCGAAAAGGGATACCTACTTTAAATGGGCAAGACACTTGTGAGGCCAGAGAGATGTTCACAAGTGTTGATGTCAGTTGGCCTGGATCAGTGCATGATTCCAGAATATTGAAAAACTCACAGACTAGATCACAACTAATTGATAAAGCAAATGCTGTAGTACTTGGCGATGACGGTTATGGTATTGAGCCATGCCGTATTTCTCTGTTGCTAATTTTCTTTTTGGTGGCAATGTCTTCTGAATTGCTGGCGCTGTAATACTGACTGTTTGCTCACTGCGCTCGGTATATAGTTCACTTCCTTCTTCTTGAACACTACCAACCTGAATGGCACCTCTAATTTTCCCAATTGAAGGATTACAGTCACCTTCCATAGCTTTCAGCAACTTTCTTTCCCAATCTAACAATTTAATTGCTTTATTACCAGTTTTTTTAGATCTGTTTTTTTCTTCAATTTTGATTTCATGTTGTTGATTTTTTTTTTAATAAGGCTTTAGTATCTAATGGTTTAACGAATGTTGATTCGTATTTTTTCAACATCTTCTTCAAGGCATAGTCCTTTCTCATTTTTATTTTTGGAACTTTTGGACTTTTGCAAAATAATGGGAGCAATGGAAATTTCATCTGCGATGAACTGCAGGTCATTGCCATTATTTTCTACAGTTTCCTCATCACTTCAGGATGACATGCTAATTAATTTGATAAAAAACTGTATCCAGGAAAAATACGGAACGGTCTGTGTAAGCTCTGGAGTAGAACTCTCAGTGATGCTGGGTGAACGAACTCCCACGTCAATTACAAGCTGGAACAAGTCAGGACATGTCGCTCAAGATACAAATACCAGTCAACCTTTTACTTCTTCTTGGAGGATATCCTCGCGAGTATAAGGTAATCATTATGAATATGAAAACAAGGATATGCTCATACTTCTACCTTTTTCTCCGAAGCAAGATCTTATACTTTTACCTTATGCTTCCGAGGATATGCTTCTCTTTTTTGAATACGGCTCATTGTCTGCCAACAACACATTAAAAATACATCTCGATACATAGTACATGTACGTCAAATTTCATTAAAATATGTAAATTGAGATCTTGATAATAAATGATTGATTTTTGAAAATTTTATCACCCTGTATCTTAAAACTGAATACGTTTACGACATATGTTCATGTGTATTCTTAAAATGAAGACAAAGATCGCCTTCTTATTTACTGACATTAAATTAGGAAACATGCTGTATAGTAATTGTATCCAAATCATTACTCTGTGATTGGGTGATTGCAATCAAAATTGATATGACATTCCAAAAAATTGTTTCACTGTTGGAAGGCATACTCTCATTCTACGACTCTGAAACCACTCCATTCAAGGGCAGAGTTTGGAATTAGTAATGCACAAGCAAGGAAGAAGAGAAAAAGGGAGGCCAAGAACTAGACCCTCAGTAACAATTTTAAATATGAATATGAGTATATATATCATTCCATTATAAAAATAAACAAGAGCTTAGAAAAAAGCTGCGCCATATTACTACAATTTATTACTAGTATATTTGCATCTCATTATTATGGTCACCTAAAGCACGAAGTGTCGTAACGATATTTTTTGCAGATAAGCGTCAAGTCGATTATAAGTAATAGAAAGTTTCCCCTTTCAATCGGGAAAAGCCGTGTCTGAATCTCTGAACTATTAGCTGTTGTCAAGAGTCTTTAATATTTGGTTGTTGACTATCGTAAACCTAATTTGAGCTACCCTATAAAATTACAGAAATGATAGTTACTTTCGGGTTCAAATCCCACTGTAGTCAAACTTCTCTCATTTCTGTTGTAGAAATCAGATATACTGTATGATCCATCCGTTTGTGGTTTTTACTCAACTATACGAAAGTTAAAAAAACAGTAGGGATACATCCACCTCGTAAATATCCTGCAACATTCATAATATCCCTATTAACCCAGTTCATACGGAAGCCAATGGAATTTTAACGATCCTGATTCACACATACCAACCGGCTGTTCTCTCCCGTGCTCTTGTGTTCTAAATATAAAGCTCTTTCAAACATCTTAACACGTTGGCACGCACGCTACTTTCGTATTCCCTCACGCAGAGCTTTCGGATTGACAATATCTTGAGATCTTCAGATAGAGCTATTGCTTTTTACCATTATGAAAGTGAACAACTGGGATTTACGGAACAATGCCAGATGTGATAAAACTGGACATATATGTATGTATAGAATTTTATTAAAGGAACTGCTCGTGATACATGAAATCAAACAGTTGAGTCTAGTGCGGTGAGGTAGTGTCATATAGTACTTAATTTATTTATTTACACACCACCAACAAATATAACAATTACTGGTGGGATACACATATAGCAAGATAACAAAGTAATGCAATACACACCAAGACACATTTTTACATGTTTGCTTGATGCATAGGTATATCAAAGTAGTAGTAATAATAATAATAACGTTTATTCATGTCAGCCTCGCGGACATGAAACGTCAAAATACTGGTTACAGTAATTATTACAAGATAATATTATGCGCAATGAAACAAACTACGACAAAATCTATACGAAGTCATTAACAGAATAATAGCATTTTTCGACCAAAAATGCTTGCTCAGGTTTTTTAAAAGATTTAGTGGCAACTAAGGTTTCAATATCGTAACGTAGATGATTGTATACAGCGGCACACATATACTCAGGACTTAATATTATAACATGAACACATTGAGTACAGGTGAGTGCAATATAAGTAAGTTCGTGGGGTAGGGAGGTAAAAGGTACGTGTTTTTCTTGTAAAGAATTTTGTGGTATTGAACTTCAACAGTAATGTAAAAGATGGGCAATCGTAAATAACATGGACTGTTTTGTTCAGAAATGCAAGAGAAAATCGCTATTTTATAATAAGTTAGCAAATAGTTTGAAATCATCTTTGCAAAGTTTATTAAAATGTGTATTTTTGTTCTCAGTTAGGTATTCGTGGTTATATTATTATTGCTTTCGTTCTTGTTCTGAACATCTAATTTAACTGACGTAAACAGTTAAGTGCAAGAGCAGCCTTGGCTAAACTTCGCTGTTTATGTCCCTCTTGGTTATTTACTTATAATTATTATTATTCAGCTTAGAGAATTGCTAAAGACCATACCTAGGTCTTAATGCTCATGTCCTCTCTGCAAAGGATCATTATCGTCTTCATAATTGAATTGAATGGGAACCACCTTTCTCGAGTATGACATAAAATCTTAAAGTCACATGCATAAATCAGATGGAAACAATCGGTATTATTAACAATGTCATTAATAGGAATGATGAAAATCAGAGGGCCGCATGAGCCTTGAGGCACACCTGGAGTTGGAAATATTTGCTTTGGGTTTGCTCTTTCGTACTCAATATATTGCCTCCTGTCTGAAAAATATTATCTAAATAGTGACAGTAAGCTAGGAGATACGCCAGCATTGTCCAATTTAGTTGGTAAGATGTTGAGATCAAGTTTGCCAAAGGTTTTACTAAAATCGGTGTAAATGACATCTACTTGTCCGTTGGCATCTACAATAGTACTCCAGAGACAAATTTAGTGAAGCAGACTAAATTGGTTGTAGTTGAACTAATACTGAACTGAACCTTATGAAATAAGGAATCATGGAGGAGAGTTTCAAAAACTTATTGACTTGCTTTATTTAGTTTCAAGTAGCGATTGAGAATGTTTTTTACCATATTTGTAAAAATCAATACAATTTCAATCGTGACTGAAGCTCTATTTTGTACGTCAGTCCATTAAACATGGAGCAAGATTCAAATGCGAGGGTGAGAGCATCATTAAAAAGATACGGGGTGTTGAAGTTTAAAAATAAAAAACATTTTTTGAATATCTTCAAAACCGTCAACTGGAATGAATTAAAATTTGATATGTGGATTTATCTAAGTATTGTCCACATTCAAAACTCTTTACTTAAAGTTGACGTGCACTAGTGGCGGAGATACAGGGGATTAGTGGCATTATTTTCCCAATATAAAATAGTACGCTCCTGTTTTTTTAAGCGCGCAATTTTTGTGTTTTTCCTAGAGTGCTTTGTTTTCGGCATCTTTTTAATACAGAAAAACGTGCTTGTCTTCCCGCAAAATTTGTTGTGGCTTGAATTTGATGAAACGCATTATCTATTCTTTCTTATAACTGCTTAACAGTTACGCTTATTTAAAAGCGCCCCACAAAAAGAAATCCAGGGGGTTCAAATCAGGACAGGCCAATGTACATTGTTTCTGCCAAACCATTGTTGTCTAAAATGTTTATTTAACCATACGGTTTTGTCACAACGAACATGCGGTGGGGCACCGTCATTCTGATACCACATTCTTACTCTCGTTGCTAACGAAACAACATCTAACACATTTTCTATGTAATTCTCTAGAAAAGCCAAGTATGAGTTTGCATTTAAACGTTGTGGCAATACGTGCATAAACAGTTGACCATTAAAAATGCCGCACCAGACATTTCTAGAAAATCTGTGTTAAAACGAGCGGATTCTTATAGAACGGGGATTTTCTAACGATCAAATATGTTCATTATGAGAATTAAAGGTTCCACTCCTTCTAAAAAGCGATTCATCTGACCACAAAACGAAATCAATAAAATCTGCATTTTGATTATGCATTTGCAGTAACCACTCACAAAAATTTCACCGTTGCACTTCGTCGCCGGGATGCAGACATTGCACATTTTGCCGATGGTAAGGATTTAAAACTTCCCGACTCAAAATTATCCACTGCAAGACTTTTTGAACATGGTAACTGAACTGGGCTGCATTCCGCCTAGTACTTGTACAAGGATCATCCAACGCCAAATTAATCACTTCTAGTTCCTGGAAGTTTGGCAATTCCATATTGCCGTAGTCTCAGAAATGAACGCGTAAAAACCTTTGGGATAGGTTGGCGTCTGTTAGGGAATTCCATTTCACAACACTCAAAAATGGAAAAAAGAAACTTTTGACTTAAAAAAAAAATGGTAGTAGTAACGATAACAACCGTATAATACATAACTTTGACAAAATATTTCCCAAGAAACGTCAAA